CTTCGATGTCATAGACGTATTCACCAATGACCTGCCAGTCATTCAGGTCAAATGCCTTATGTCCAAGAACTTTGTTTGCGTGAGCGAGTCCATTCAAGAGGAACCTTGGCCAGTCAGCACAAGGGGAAGCCGGAAGGATGTATGCATTGCGTCATTCTTAACTGACCTATGCGTGATGCCGTATCTGTCTTCAGAGTAGGCATATAGGGTTCAGTATAGTTCAATGCAGATTGTAAATAATACTAACCGTTATATGCGTGACTATTGTATTGTTGGGCGTCAGAAGCCTGATAATTCTTCGAGTGAGAATGGTATGGGAGGTTCCATGACTTACTAGACCTTGGAAGGATCTGTGCAGGAGTCCAGTCCAATCAAAAAGCTATCCGCTGGCTGGAGAACATCGGCGAAACCTCTCAGGAACGAGGCTGCTTCGTCCCGGTGGAAGTTACCTAATTAGGCTGGTCAATTGCAAGGGATCTGGTTTGGTGTCTATATGTATACGGAATATACTCGAGTTCGTACCAATGCTAGATCCGAGAGATAAAACACATTTTCGCTTGGAGGCGATCTGCGGCCTCCTTAACCATTCACGGCCGTCATCGTACGTTCCTAACAGACCGTGACACCGGACGTGACGAAAATTTGGGACTTGAGCCAGAGTTCTTGACAGCTCATCTTCTGACAAATCAAGAGCATAATAGTCGATCTTCTTGCCGGCGTCCTCAAGAGCTTGAAGCAAAAGAGTTACCTTCCTCAAGTTACTAGCCAAGGAGGTCAATCAAATGCCGCCGAGGTCCGGGAATGGCCATATAACACTCACCCGCTGCCTAACTCGAGCAATAGGGATCCGGACGGAATTGACCTAGCAATTGCAGTAGCCGAACGCCGTAGGACTTGGATCTCATAATTTGTTAAATAGTACTCTTCTAAATATGTGATCTGGAGTCCTGGTCAGCGTGATATGCTAAGTGCAACCGTATTCGGCTAACCTCTTCAAATAATTGTAGACCTTTCTCGTCATAGAGGAGTAAGGTCGGTAATTTCCGGGGCCCCTCCTGAGGGCGTAGTAACTTATGGATCTCCTCTTTTAGGTTAAAATCAACGGCGGCTTGCCGTATGTCAGTAATATCAATATTGGGACGTCGTCCTGCGGTTAGACTGGCACCCTTTTCTAACTTGTACTGCGGATTGGGCAGCTGAGGCTTATAGGGGGACTCAACAACAGATGGCATAGCTGGTGGTGGTGATGATAAAACTGCCTATTACACAAGAGATGGTGTTTGCTAAGCTTAGAGGGTAGTTTTTCTCACGGGTTTGCAGGGGTGAGGATATCGTAGGTAATATATATATAAATTTCAATTGGGACGGTTGCAAAGTCTGAATGGTGTAACAGGAGAGTTACAAGAGAGCTACAATACAGGAATATGTACATACTTAAGACCTAGTACAAAAGCATATTGTGAGATGAGAAGCCGGACAAACCTTAGCAGCGAGACCATATGCTCTGCCGCTGCTAAGGGGAGTAAGGGAAGCAAGGGTAGCAAGGGTGATAATGGTGATGTCAGTCGGGGACTAACCCCTTAGTCTCCAGCCTAGATGTGGTTGGTTCGACGAATAAGTTACCAGGTACGTCAGCCCTAAAGGCGTTCGAGCAAAAAAAGCTGCATCCACGATGACCATCCTGGATATACCATTTGGCTATCGCAGTACATACCTCACATAGTGTGTATGTATGTAAAGTAGGCTATGTAGTGTTAGGTAGGTAGGTAGGCGGGTAAGTATGTATAATTCGAAGAAAGGCGTGAAAACGCGGATGGGGCTCGTATCTATCCACGCCCTCTCTGCTTACGGTAGGATGGCACGGTAGTTACTGAGTGCCAAGAAAGGGTCTGGAGAGGCAACACAATGTGAGTGTCGAGTTGTCCCGGAACTTGGATAGTTGAGAATTGAGGAGTCAGAATTTATTCTGTCATAAATTGCTGCAAGTTAAACCATGCTATAATTCTGAGAGTGGGATGTTGAAGGAGGATAACAAATCACGGGGCAGAAAAAGGTCAACAAGAAGAGAGCTACGGCTTTCCCGGCCCCACAAATGAGAAGTTGGCCAGTGCATGTATTGTATGTACATGTACCTAATTGTATGGTACGAAGTATACCCGCGCCTCCGTCGTTAATACCTAGTACCTACTAACGCTTTACTTAATTAGGCACCTTGTGCACAACTGCGTTGCCGCTAAAGTTGTTAGTTCTTGCCCGACTTACATAGTACCTACATACCGTATCCTGTTGTGCGACAAGAACGCTGCAGGTTCCTTCTTGCCGTCCCTTACCTACCCTTACCTAGAGGTAAGCTACCACGGGTGTACCTTGGCTCGGTTCCGGTTCCGGTTCCTGGTAAGCCTTAAGGACGTTTTCGAACGGTGGGAACCCTACCTGCGTTATAACGGACCTGGGAGTTTTAGTCATATCGTCAAGTCAAGACACATGTACCGAATATTTGATACGGAGATACTAAGATACTAATGCATTAGTATATTGGGCATCGGGCCTTTATTTGTCTTTTTCGTAAAGGCATCTATATCTAATGGTCCTTGTCTCTATATTAATATTTTTCCAGACATATATTATGTAAAAAGGTAGATTGATGACGCGCATTTAATCATTATTGCATTGGAGCAACGCAAACCAGGTTCCGTTTTATCTCAATAGTATTATGCAGTACCACCTGGGGGAAACTTGCTGCGCATAGAGATTGGACGTGACTTACCTAATGTATACCTATCTTATGCCTACCTAAGGTTATTATTATTATATTAGTAATGTTGAAAGGAGTCCGTTTCGGTCTGCGGCATACCTAAGTACCTACCTGAGGTAAGTTGGGTAGATGGGTACTTGGAAAGGTAGCATATAAGGTACATCATTAAAACACACCTCCGGACCGAGAATTTCCCCTCTATCTACGTCACTTATATGTGACCATGACCTGACGATCTTTACCGAAACACCCCCACTTTACCCCTCAACGACCGAAAGAGCCTCCCACACACGTGTAAGTCTATATTTGGCGATAAGCGAACAAAGATTCAAACGGCGTCATTTACGGCCGTCGCAGCGTCGCGGTGTCGCGCGAAATGCAGCATTATATTAGGGAGGTGGCATTGATAGACGGCTGGACAGCTGATCATGGGGTACAGCTCACATGATTTCTAAATTGGCCATTACCTAGTTTTTGCCTAACCCAGCGTCCTGCATCTTTTGTGTTGAGCTTTGCGAACTTTCTATTGCATCTTCTTTGTTACTAAAAGGTGGGACAGTGCCTGGATGCAACCCCCGACTGCACGTCAATTGTGGGGAAACCATCTTCCCCCGTGACACCCCCAGAGTTCCCAGAGTACCCAGAGTACCCTGGGTTTTAGGTACTTGGGTACATCTATACGGTTTATACGGCTTATACGGTAACTCCGTCTCTCTCGACTCCGCGTCGGGCAGATTTGTTTAGTTTTGTTTCTTTTTACTCGATAGCAAGCAACCTGAAAAAATAAAATAAAATAAATACTGGAAAGAAAAAGGAGTGAACACCCCCCATTTAATTCTTTAATGGAGCGTCTCATTCTTATCTATCCCAATACCACTTCATCATATTTGACAGGCTTCAGCTTTTCCGCGGCACCCTCGGCCATCAACTCGAAATTTTCTAGAACAGCAGAGGTGAACCCTCCAGTCGATTCAAACCTTCGGTCTAAACTTTGTTGGTGCACATGAGCGACTTTCTCGGGTGGCAACAACCTATACTTGAAGATATATTAGGAGGGGTTGATTTATGTTAGTGGAGGATCGTCAACGCTGAAAATACGTTAGCCTCGACCTGAAAGAACATCAGCTAGCCCAGAGTCAGACTTCATATAGACGGTAAGGCATTGATCATGGGGTGCCATTTTGAGACATGTAATTATTGTTATTGATATTAATAATCCGCTCGTCCTGCTGGATGGTTACCTGGCATGTATTTTAATCTAACCTTGTCTCTTTTTAGGTTATCAGGTAAGAGCCTTGGGTTGGGTTAATAAAAAACACCTCAGCTTGGACTGATTATGGTGGGATGACTTGTCAGTCTGTGGGCTGCTGAAAGCCTATTAGATTGTATTGCCTATCCACTCGCAGCTGGTTCGCCTACTGAAGAGGCAATAGACTGGGCAAAAGGCAAAACAGGTAGGCGTTATATGTAGTATGTAAGCTGAGGAGAAAGTCATTAACCGAAGATATACGAGACATCTATTGATTCCGTATATCAAGAGGATGGCGATGAGAGATTGTGAAAGTATTAATTTTGTAACCCTTTTGGCAATACTGGTAATGAGATAGCTTCCTAACATAATTTATCGTGATGATGAGTTGCCGGTCAGAAACGAATAGCCTAGGTAGTTATGTGAATATCCTGTAAGACAACAGCAGTTGTACTATAGAGCCTTTAAAGATTGCTACGTTGAGACTTACTGGCCGAGAGGACTCAGACGGTCTTCAATGCCCAAATTGTGTCTTAAAGGATAGCGAAATGAGTACTGTGCATAGGCCAGGAATATTTCAGTCACCTCAGACTGAATATGTATTTATCCTACCTATAATTAGCTTAGGATCTTCGACCTGTAGGAATTGAGAAGATGTTTATGTATTTCAAGGAGACAGTGAACACTTATTTAAACATAATATTTTTGAGTCTTCAATGCTGCTTGGTGAAAATGTGATAAGTAAGCCAGTAAGCTCATAGGAGAAGAAGCTTATATAGAAGTTAACTTCTCTGAAAAATAGTTACATAGAGCACTAGCGCTCTGGTGCTTACTTGAATAATGATGCTAAGTATAAGTTCTCGATAGTAGTATAATTCATCCAACTTCATCATATCATCCTTTATTCGTCTTTCTAAGGGATATCGATAGCATCTGTAATTGAGGATAAACATTACAAAGATGCATGAGGTAAAAAGGGGGAACCCTGTAGGGACTTTGCCTGGGCAGGATTTGAACCTGCGGCCTCTCGGACTTCAATAACTCGTCTGAATTGTCTTCTAGAACCGAGCTGTGACCGAGCGTGTTCCCAGCTCCACCACCAGGCGTTCAGTCTTTTGTTGTGTTGGTTCTAGTATTATTTTCCAATATATGATATGACTCGTGCCATTTGACTTGGAATTTCCAACAACTATGGTGACTCATACAATTGATGCGATATGACCATCGATATCTTTGCCGCTACATCACCTTGGTTAGGTACGTTTGCCTAGCGTATTTACGTTAAAGAGATATTAAACCTGACGAGTCCCAAATTTGCTATAAGGATATGTCACCATTCGTATAAGTAGATATTTTGAGGATGCTTAAGCAACTCGCAGTAGATTCTACCATAAGGCGGATATGTTTGGCTGTCCAAGTTCAGACCAAAAAAGGGGAAATTCTAAAGCTAAAAAAGGGGACGACCCTTTTATGACAGGATATATAAGTGGCTAGAAAACATTTTGCTATGTGCCTACTCTGACAGATTAACTTAAGTAAGGTAAATTGAGCTCTAGCTACGACTAAGACTTTAGAGGAACCTAACCCGGTTACACTTTAAATAGTTAGGATGATAGTAACCTAGTATTAATGATACATAGAGGTGAATATGGAACAGTTAAAAACACCAAGATCTTTGAGAGTTATAGTAAATAAGGGGCACCGCACGTTCCCGAAAGAGAGGCATTGATACACCACTTTTCTCACATAATTACTGTTTTTCGCTATTCACCCTACGTATGAGGTTATTCCTGACACACAGGCGCCAATTTGGCCGCCATATCACATCCGATATCAATAATCGAACACTTCTCAAGGAGTTGGAGAAAAACAGCCATCAAAGCTAAGACGGTACACGAAGACACTAGATTGTCACACAGGACAGAGGTAAGAATCTGGAATCAGTCTTCGTCAGTTGTCCTACATCGACCTAGGTATCCTTTGCTTTCGTAACCGAACCGGATACTTGCAGCAATACCCAACCCTCCTTCCCCATGGGTCATATGCATTAAGTGTAGCCTTCCAATTGTTACATGACGATAGGCGAGTACCGAAGGCTATTAATGCGTTGAATGGAGCTGATAATACAGTCTTGGTCACTACTGTTAGCAGCTACAAGATTGCGCAACATGAAGACCTACAGCTGTGTAGCCTGCATAGAGTTACATTGCGGATGTGGTATCTAGGTAATGCGTTTTGCTACACTAATACTATAATTAGTTTTGCCACCGACTTGTCCTTGTACTAGAATATAGTCTATAGATGTGTGGCCCCGACCGAGGTGCTTTACACCAAGGGGATGCGTCCTGTATATATAAGACATACCTACCTAGGTAGGTAGTCGACGTTAGCCCTATCTCATAATCATACTAACACAGATAAAAAATTATAACTATGGCTTCAATCTGGGTACTTATCATTGTTGGCAGCATTCTTGCGGGCTGTGCACGGATATTTTATCGACTCTGCCTTCATCCGTTGGCAAATATACCAGGCCCCCCACTGGCAGCAGCAACGTATCTATATGAAGCTTACTACGAACTTGTGCATAAAGGGGGCGCCCAATATGCCCCCAGGATCAGGGAACTACATAAAGCGTACGGCCCGATCGTCCGTATCAACCCGGACGAAGTTTCAGTCGCCGATGCGTGTTTTCATGATCAAGTCTATGCTCCTCAGCCAGAAATAAGAGATCGACATCCCGACTTCTCGGCAGCACTGGGAACTACTAATGGCTCATTCAGTACACCAGACCACTACCTACACCGAGATAGAAGGGTAGCATACAGCCCGTTCTTTACTTCGGCCAATGTGATGGCTTCTGAGTCATTGGTGGTGAAGAAAGTTAACCGCCTCTGCCAACTTCTATCGTCGGATAGGGATAAATGCTCGGAACTTCGAACCTATTTCGCTGCTATCGCATTCGATAGTTTTTATACGTGGGGTTTTGGCAATTCTTTAGAACTGCTCGACAATCTTCCGTTTGTATATCAATGCAACCAAACAATAGAGACGTTGGTAACGGGACCGCCAGTCTATAGAGTGTTCCCTTCGGTGCTGAGGATTGTAAGGAAGATCCCGCCAGCAATCCTCAGATACTTTTCGCACCATATTGCAAGGCTTTTTGATTTACATGATGTAAGTAAGCAGAGAGACGACTAAACTTAGGTAGGTACCTATTACTAACTTGGCGGAAGATGATCAAGAAAGAAGCCGAACGAGCCGTACTGAGTGAAAATGAGGACATCAAGGTGACTGCTACTAGGAAAATATCGCAACCAGAAACCCTATTCTCCGTCCTTAGAAGGAGCAAGGCTGTACCGGAAGAGAAGACGGCAGCTAGAATGGCACACGAGGGAGTTGAAATGTTGATGGCCTCTTTCACCCCGGGACATACAATGATGTTCGGCATGTACTATCTCCATTCAAATCCGCATGTGCTTGAAACCCTTCGCAGAGAGCTCGATCAAGCGAATCCTGACCCAGCAGTTGATCTGACTTTTAGACTGCTGAATACTCTCCCATATCTAGTAAGTTAGCTAACTTTATGATATTTACTACTATTAATCAACGACTATAGCGGGCGGTAGTCAAAGAATTACTTCGTATCTCGTTTCCGATGGGAATGCGACTACCCATGATATGTCGCAAGGATATTCAATATGAAAAGTGGAATATCCCAGCCTACGTGAGAAATCACATCTTTAACTTTCCTCAAATGAACAGGAAAATTGATCTAAGATAGACTGCGATCTCTGTAAACCATCGAGGGCTTGTTTTCGACCCCGAAGTCTTTGTTGATCCTCTTAAATTTAAGCCGGAGAGATGGCTGGATAGCGCCAATGTGATCGATGAAAAGAGATACTATGTTCCTTTTGGAAAAGGGGCCCGGATGTGTCCCGGGAGAGAGTATGTTTATATAATCCTCTTGCTTATTATTCTTCTCTTCTAACTTTAGCCCTGGCCAGGTTCGCCAGCCAACTGGTTCAAATAACCCTTGCGACTCTCATACAGCGGTTCGAGTTTCAGTTGGTCGATACTGTTTGGGAGAGGGACGTGGCGGTAAGTCGCGAGTCTCTGTTGGCAGCTCCAGCCTATGGAAGCAAAGGCATCAAGCTCAGCCTGGTAGGGCCTCGCAGCTGTAGTATCCAGTGCAGTTAGGGTCTCACGACATTTTTACGAGAAGGATTGGGTTTCAGTGTATACGCAAGCAATAACAAGAGCTGCCGGTTAATTGCTGCTTATGAAGAATTAGATACCTAGTACCTTAGGTAGGTACCTACCTATATAACAAGGTATAAGAGGTAGATACTTACAGGTACGGGTGGCTATATACTACTTTTTCCACAGACTCTGATTAGTCCATGAACGAAATAGAAAACTGCGGGATAAGCTTTTCGGTAGGCCGCGTCTCGGTACGTTGGAAGTTAAAATTTATTACCTACCTCAGGTACCTAACATATATATACGACATGTCGTAATAAATGAGCCTCCCGCTGGTCACTCTTTTTAGGATTTTTTTCGATATTGTTGTGCGCAACCTCCTCAATAAAATATGTCGGCAGAGGATGATAACTTGTTAGTCGCGGTGAACTTGCCTTCTAAGGATAGTCAAGCCCTCTGCGATGCTTCCAATATTGAGAAACTACTTGCATTTTGGTTCGAGCACTCGGAGGGGATTGAGAAATGGTTTAAGCCATCGCTAGCTGTGGACGAAGAGTGCAAACCTTGGGAGGTGTTGGTGGTTGCGGCGCAAGAGGGGCTGCTCTCTTCTTGGAACCAGAGCGCTGATGGAACACTTGCCCTCCTCCTACTGTTGGACCAGCTTCCGCGAAATATATATCGTGGAATACCACGCGCATACGCCTCAGACGCACAGGCTCTCGCCACCGCCCTAGACGCCATCTCCCGCGGGGTCGATAGACAAGTCCCGCTCGAGCGTCAGATGTTTTTCTACTTGCCCATAATGCACCACGAATCTTTACTTGCTCAAGTAGGCTGTCTTGGATTATACCAAGGGATGCTCGCGAGAGCGGAGGTGGGCACGGACTTGCACGAATTATTAGAGGGCGCACTAGAAATAGCGCAGCTACACGTCGATGTCATCCGAAAGTATGGGCGGTTTCCCGGCCGTAACGTAGCGCTGGGAAGAGCTAGTACCACAGAGGAGACGGAATATTTGAAGGATAAAGGACCAGGAGGTTTCTGACAGCGGGAGATATGTACCAGGACGCTTTCAGAAGGTGTTACGACATTCTAGAAGCAAACTACTTCAAACACATCTAAGGCATATAATGATAACGAATAGCTGAACCAATATTGTAAGCCATGTAGTTACATTTAGCTCGGCTTTCCCATATCCGGACGTGATTGCGGCTTATGGGATGCATTATTGCATGCGTTGCGTTACATGTAGGCTATGTTGCCTCTATCTTGTATACTAAGAATCGGGATGCAGAGTTGTGTTGGGTCCATTCTCACGCTATGGATCTAGATATGAAGCCCCCTTGTAAGCTCAGATCAGCCCGCCATGTACCTATGATATTATGATGTTAGGGCAGAATACCTACATAGGATCTTGAGTTGATAGGGCTAAAACGAAGCTGTTCGATGTGTCTTGCTTGGTACAACTACAAAGGTTAGGTAGGTAGTAACTGTACAGTAGCCTACTTATTTGTTGTGATCTTATTGGATGTGATGTTAGAATATGTAAAGTGGCACTTATAATTTACAAGTTATGACCAACAGAAAGGCGCAGCATCAATCTCCCCACTACCTCACTTAGCAACTCGTCTATCCAAGGTGCCTAACCCAAAGTAAGGGATCACCACTACGCCAACCTACTCTGTCTGGCGAACAAAGGCCAATGGTCTCGGTCGACCCCACCAGTCGCAAGGGTTGAACCTCCAGGCGCCGTTACCAGCACCAAACCAGTACTTGACGAGGTAAGGCATGATCCGTGGCAGAGGAGGAAACTGATATCCGCATTCATAGGTCTTGTCGGCGCATCCGAGCACAACCGGGAACACGTCGTACTAAAAAAGTAAAGAACACTCAGTTTTATGCC